CGCTGTGTCCCCGCTCCCAGGGCGGGACCCTGCGCCCGCTGTTAGTGGGCCACGGAGAGAAATGCGCCTCGTTACCGCGTTGCGTCGAGCTTTCACTGCGGGTGGGCCACGGAGCGCTGGCGCCCTGCCATCCCCAGAATCGCCCCGACTCTGGGTGGGAAAGGTGCTGGGCAGCCTGATGGGCTTCCACCTGCACCGACACCGCGCGAACATGACCTGTGCCACGTCCAGCGCCAGAACCACCACCCCAAACCAGTCGGCACACAGCACACACCCGCGCCCTCATGCCATCGCCCCCACGTCCCAAGCAGCAGTCACCTGCCATGTTCATCACCACCCCCTGCGCTGGCACCGCTGCCACCCTTACCCGCCACTGTTCACGTGGCCTCCGGCACCACGGCCGCCACCACATTCGCTCCTGGGCCACTGTGCCGTCCACGCCTGGCAGCCGCCTTGCCTTGGGGCAGCGTTTGGGGCTGCGTGGTGGCGGGAGGAGGCAGCCTTCTCTGTAGGTGACCCCCACCCCTCAGAAGTCCCCCTGGGCTGGGATGGGGACGGCGGGGCACGCCTGACTTCCGGAAGTATGGGGTGAGCAGGGCAGAGCCGCGCTGGGGTCTGCCACAGCCGGAGGAGGCCCGCACCTCTCACGGATGGGGGGGACTCGCACTGGCAGCGTTGACACAACGCCGCATCGAGAGCCCCTTAGGACTTGGGCTGGGCTCCCCACGTCCACTCAGAGTCGCAGGTGAAGTTTTGTGGAAGCAGCTGACCCTCTTAACAGCCTCGCGAAAACATCCGCCCTGGCCAAAACCACCTGGAGAAACGGCTGTGAAGGGGAAGGTCCGCCTGCAAAACAAACGGTTTCGTCAGAAGCCAGCGTTCCGGCTGCTAACAAAACACAGATCTCCGTGCGAGCTTTTTCCGGAAATGAAGATATTATTTGAAAAACACTGGCCCGTGTGGACATAGCAAGCCCCCCACCTTCTCCGTACTCAGGAGGAAAGACAGTGGTCTGGAGGGAGCGCTGCCCAGGACGCCTGAAAACACTGCAGGGCTGTGTGGTCCAGGCGGGGACAGGAAGGGGGCTGGAGGCCGTTAGAACTGCAGCCAAAGGGGAGCCGGGGAGGCGTTTGCATCCGACCAGGTGCCTCCCACGCCCGCCCCGGCCACGGGACACTGCCCTGCACGCCCCTGGTTCTGGCCCTCGTCCAGCAGGGCGCCGGGCGCCCCAGCCCTGAGTCCAGCTGAGTGGGAACCCGCCCCTCTGGCCACCTCCGCCCAGTCCCCAGCCCACTGGCTAGCAAAGAGCAGGCTCACCGAGCGAGCGAGAGAGTGGGCAGTGCCCGGGCCCACACGTCACACGCGCAGGTCAAAAGTGACCCTGGAGACCGGCGCTTTCGGAGTCTGCATCAGAAACAGCATCCAGAACACGGCCTTGCGGGGACTCGGTCCCGCACGTGCAGGGCCCCTTTCGAGAAGGCGCCCATCGTTTCGCTCCGCCTCGTGCGTAGGGGCTGGATGTGGTAAGCCGTAAGGCTCTGAGAACTGTGGAGTGTTTTACGGCTGAGGTTCCTTTATTTGTCACCGAGAGCCAGCCTCGGGCAGCATGTCACCTCTGGGCTTCCATTCTTCAGTTGGGGGAAGGGTGTGCTAGGTGGTGAGGTGCGAGCAGGTGCTGGGCACCCATGGTCAGTTACAGGGGTGCGGTGTCCACCAGCCGTGTCTCCAACACTGAGCCGTGGCGGAGGGGGGTGGACAAGGCACGCCCCCTAAGGTCCCCTCCAACCGTCCCCCCCTGGGGCCTCCTCCAGCCCTGCTGGCCTTCACCCATGGTGCTCTGACCCCCGACCCTCCTTGTGTCTTAGAACTTTGGGGCCGGTCCCAGA